GAATTATAATTATACAACAGCCTGCAAATGTTAAGCCTTGAAAATTAAAAAAAAAAGCAAAACTAAAAAAATAGGGAAGGGTAGTACTGATTTCTAAATCTTCCATAGAGTGGAGTAAATAAATGTGATTTACAATTGACATAGCTAAAAAAAAATATGACATTTTCAAGTTTTAATTATCATTATTATTTTAATCTAAAAACTCTTTTAGAAATTAATACCCGTACTGGTACAGTAACTTTCACTTGAAATTCATAAATTCTTTTATGAATTTCTTTAATGTCATTTTTTTCGTACTAAATTCAAGTAAAACTAAATTAAACTTCTTTTTTAAAAATAGCATGAAATGTAGTTTACTTGATTTATCTGGCCTCCCATCTGTGTATATACAAAAAAGAAAGAGGTATTTGGAATGATGTTCTTGTAATTTTAAAAATATTCACCTTATTTTAATGATATCCATTTCTAGGGGTTAGATTTGGGGTAATTCTTTTACTTCTCTGTAGATTTGGCATTGCTTAAATTCTTTATAATAAACACAAACTGTTAAAAAAAAAAAAAAGGCCCAAAACAATCATTACTCTCAAAATAAGCATCTTGAAGAAAAGGACTCTGGGTTAATTGGAAAATCAGCTGTAGAGATGAATAATTTAATGTGGATTCTTAGGATAACATGCATGATTATTCTTGTTTACATAGATTATTTGAACATATCTATAAATCCTGCTGATTTATAACTCAGATGCATATATTTTAAGCTTAAAGACTTCCAATTTGAAAATTTCTGTGTATATTAATATATGGCTATGTCGTTGTTGACACCCGTGTTTTCTTAATCCATGTTGGGGGGCAGAGCTGGTGATATAGCTGGGGCAGAGGGTGAAGAATGAGCCCCTGTGTTAAAGGCAAATGCATTTATCATGCTCTGTGCTACCAGAGTGAAGCCAAAAGTCAAGACAGAATAAGGTGAGGATGTGAAAGAAGGGCTGAAAGGAAAGCCTCCTGTCAGTGACAGCAAGTTGAACACTGCGACTTAAGGCCCTCTCTTCATGCCTCCAGCACCTCCAGTTTGGGCTTGTTATAGTGACAGCCCCATGCTTTAAGGCTTTCTCTTGTTCAAGTTATTTTTCCCTGGGTGGCAGTTTTTCTGTTCTCAATTCAGGGAGCATGAGCTCAGAACAAGTGTGTAGTTCGAGAGGCTAGCTTGTGGAAATCAGCGTGGTGATGGGCTGCTTTTCCCAACCCCCAGCCCCTACTAGGAAAAGACCCGGGGAAAGGTGATCACGTAGTACCCTCTGCAAAAGCGAGTGGTTTTAAATTTTAATTGATCTAGGCAAATTATATTTCTCTAAATTTATGCCAACATTCTGACCTGAGCCCAGACACTGCTGCCACCTGAAGCACTGATATTTAACCATGATCTTCCACATTTATGCCCAAAAGCAAGGAATAAATGACCCAAGTAATGTTCATTTCTACTGAAACTGTGGGAAATTTTTTAAATTGCTTGCCATAAAAAAATCAGGGAATGCATGTATTTTTATCTACCAATGGAGAAGTATGTAGCCCTGTTTTGTGTGTATTTAATAAATTCCTCCAAGATGGTCTGCAAACCTCATCTCATAACAATGGTGGCCTTTAGAGAGAAAGGAGGGGACGCAGACCCGGCACAGGGAGCAAAGGGGCCTTAACACAGGGACGTCTGTAATGTCCTCACATCTCCTCTTCTCCCCTCTTCCTCTCCCTGCTTTTCTTCCTTTTGTTTTTCTTTTTAAGAAATCTAGTCATACTTTACTTCCATGACTAAACGTTACTTCTGCAGATTTGGGAATAGTACTCTCCAGAAGCGTCCAGTTATACACTCAGTGACTGCCCGGCGAGCCGCTTCTTCAGTTGTTCCAAAACTGATACCCGTGCTGTGTGATGCCGCTGATTCCATGTGGTCACTGGGATTAATTGAGATATGAAACAAATGGGTATATGATCTGATATTTTGTCCGAAGAAATATTATTTGCAGCTGGAAAGAGTAATGACACTGTTCATGTGAGGCACACAGTATTCACTCAACAAAATGTTTGTTAAGTAGCTGGTTGGCTGGCTGGCTGGACAAATGACTAATCCGGTGTGAGAGACAATCACTTGTTAGATTGAGCATGACCTTGAGCATAGGTTATAAATTTGAAGAACTTCGAAGAAAATGAAAGTTAAAACATTCTCATTCACTTTTGGCCAACAGCTGAATTTGGTAAAGGAAGTATTTCTTGACTTGAAATAATCAGCAAACTGAGAGTTTGGACAAGATGATCTAAAACTCAGCTAAGCTGAGACTCGGCGAGGATGCGACCGGGGAGCAGTAAACCGCTTCTTCCCTCTTGGCGAAATGAGAGGAAAACATATAAATGAACACCAAAATCATTGCGGAATGTAGCAGGGTGATCACACAGGCTGCAGGGAGGACAACTGTGCCCAGAGGAGCCGCAAAGCCGTCGGGAACACGGAATTGCTCCACAAACACGGGCTCTATTCCACAAGGGACGGCGGAAGGAGACAGCCAGCACCGCAGCCGAGTTTACTCTCTGCCCCAAGCGTGATAATGGAAGCAATAATCCCGGAAAAGGAAGCAAGAGACTCATCCTCTCAGGGGTGCTCAGTGAGAGGGGACTAGGAAGAGCCACTTTTGCTTGACCAATGTGATGTCTTTTCCTAAGTGATTACCTCCTACTCCCTCGCTTTCCACTTCCCAGCTCAGGGTCCGCCCTCTCCTTCCCACCAAAGCTCTTTATATTTTTTACAGCTTCGGATGTGGAGAAAAATGAACATTGGATGTGGAACATAAAACTTTCATCCTGTGTTTCCACTACTAGCCCATTCCGTCCCAGCCTCTCAGGGAAAACAAAATCTTTTCTCTAAGCTCTCAAAGTTTTTCAATAGGCATCTGGCTAGAAAACGCCTCCGGTTTATGCAGCAAAGACTCTCCAGAACTATATTTTGAAAGGCTCAGCGTTGTAAGATGCCCCGGGGCCCCTGGCTTTCCAGGAGCTGCTGGGCATTTTCACAAAGGGAATGTCAAGGTAGAGAGCGCCCTGGAAATTTGTGGGAACAAGAGGGAAATGGGTTTTCCTATTTCATGCAGCCATCTAAAGAGGGCAGACTGAAGCTCTGGGTGGAAAGAAGAAGGGAGAGAGAGACAAAGTCCCCCTCCCTCCCAACTCCCACCCCACACAAAGGCTGGCACTGATTGACTTTCAAAGTGCCATGTACCCATCTCTGCTTAAAACGCACACTGTCAAACTTGTTTTTCTGCGCCTTGAAAAATTCTGTCAAATGCCATAAGCCATTCTGTCAAGAAAACTCTTGTTTTTAACTGCCAGTTCCTTTGTCTTGCCTCTTTCTTATTCAAAGAATTAGCTTTCTTCATGGGCTGTTGACCAAAGATGATGGAGGAAACGGATGTTCCAGTTGGTCATCCCAGTGACTGACTGTGCTATTTGGTGACACACTAAGCCACTCGCCTCCAACTCAAATGCCTACAGGGATAAGGCAGGCCACATAAATGAGCAAAGCAGTCTTGATGGCAGCTTTGGCCAAGTGGACTGTCCTCATGCCACCTAAAGGGAGCGCCTGGTCCTCAGTTCCAGCTGACCGTTGACCTGCAAGTCTGGTGCTGGCAGATCTGTGGATCTGTTCTATCCACTTCAGGAACAACTAGAAAACTCAGAGAAATATAAAGGGTAAGATAACTGCTGTTCCTGAAGCTGTTCAGCTTGCGGTAATTATTCCGGTGGCAAAACTCTGCTCTCCCCCTTCTAGGGAATTGTCTTGTCTTTCTCTTATTCCACGACTCTAAAATGTGATTTGCCAGAAGCTACTTTATCTCTTACTCCACAATAACTTCTCCAAGGATGGGCGCTTAACCCAGGCTGAATGATCCTGGTACCTCACCCTCCTGGCCACAGTGACTGGTCCAGGGGCTGGGCATGTGACCCAATCTGGCCAGTCAATATCCTTTCCTGTTTGTTTTCTTTTTTTAAATTGGAGCATGGAGCTAAGAGCCTTCTTTTCACTGTGAAGCTGGGCTGATGTCAGCTAAGAAATAATTGGTAGCCCTGAATCCTGCCTTGCAGAAGAAACCAACCTGAAGGAGATATAGAAACACCTGGAGATCAGAGATAGAGTCCTGAGGGCAAAGTTCCCAGCCTCAGTTGTCTCAGAGAGAAACTCCCTTCTGGTTCTTTTCAAGGAGTGGTTGTATAAGCCCTTTTTGTGTAGCTAATTTGAGTTGAGCTTCTGTCACCTGTAACTCAAAAAACCCTGACAGATATGTGGACTCTGTGGCCAGACTGCTTGGGTTCAGTCTGACACTTGCCAGCTGCGTGATCTTGAGAAAGTCCATTAACCTCTTTGCCTCAGTTTGCTTATCTGTAAAATTGGAACATAGGGTTGTTGTGAGGACTAAGAGTCAATAAATCACCCAGAACATGTGTTGTCATCAGAGTGTGATCAAGTGGCAAAAAATAATTAAATACCCCAGATGAAGGGACTCAATTGTCTGCAACTGGACCCAAACTGTCTGTACTTCTGCTCAAAGAAAAATATAAAACCTGAAAGGTGAGTTGTCTTCTATCAGGTTCTTGCCCTTCAAAGAAGAATGGGAACTCTGCATAAGAAAGATGTTTCTCTTTTCCCTTCCCAAAGAGAAGGAAAAAAGAACCTTATAAAATCAAATTCCTATTGCATCAAGAAATTGGAAGACAAACTAGACAGGAACTCTAGAACAAGGTGGAATTCATTAATATTCTGAGAGGGATGGAAAGTTGGAGAGATAGGATAGTCATTATAAGACATTTAAACACCCACTACAAAGAGAAGTTACTAATGGATGAGTGTAGGTATAATTTAATGCTTGCATTTATGAGAAAATCCAGGAAATGACAGGCCTGTAATTTTTACTTTAGCAGAGGAGGTAATGGAAATGCTGTTCAGGCTTAGAGCAGCAGAGTGCTGTGAAAGTTATTATTTAATTAGGAACTGTAAGTGCACATTCAAACATGGCAAGAACTGTCACTTTGCATGCAGTAGGTTCCTTGGCATCTCGAAGAAGTGAAGAGGCAGCAGAGAAGCGAGCTACCAGCTTTCCAAGGGTGGATGTCTGAAAGGCAGCCCAGGAGGAGGATCTGGGGCCACGAGTCCAAGGAAACCTTCCCTGCAAGCTGCCTGTACCCTCGAGAGCCTTTGGTGCCGGTCGCAACAGAAACAGTGGTCATCTGCAAGAACGCAAGGAGAGGAACAAGGTTGAGCAGCCATTTCCTTGTTTTAGGGACTGACCTGAGAAAGGAAGAGAGTAAACGAATGTTCCAGGCATTACAGTTTTGGCAGGAGAATCAGCTTTGTGAAGGTCTAATGATAAAGCATCAGGTTGAGGCCACAGAGTCAAGGCATGGTGTGTCCCCTCCTGGACGTCTTCAGGAAGGGATGTGATAGCTATCTGAAGACAATGCCGGAAGAGTAAGTGGGACTGGTCCATTTAGGGTGGTTCGATGGCTCTTTTGCTCACCTCCACTGCCTCCACAACACAACATATCACCAATGGTTATGTTGACATTAACAGACTGTCATGGAAAATCCAGCCCCAAATCTCTTTGAAAGACAAACAAAGATTACATGCAAAGTTCATGATGTCTGGGAAGCCCTCTCTGTTAAAATGATGGCGGAAGGCAGGTTGCAAGTTTGAGGAAGCCCAGGGCTATGTTTGACATGACTTTTTTGCCAAGAATGGACAGCAGTCTTAAAAAAATGGTTATTTCCGGGCCAGACATTTTCTCTTGGAGGATCAGAAAAAGGGAGGCTTATCAGTCACAAAATTTATGTCATTCACTTGTGTTTGAAAAGGATGAAAAAAGAAAGCAAATCAGAGACTGACTTGGAGAGTCCATGGAGAGTGCTTTCCAAAGGTCAGTTTAATTGACCCCAAGACAACTGAGTTTGGTTGCAAACCCCAGGGCCCCATGACTGAAAGTATTCCTGGATTGTCTTAGGGGACATCAATCTTCATTCAGAGGGCCATTGTGTCTCTTCTTAGTGTCTGAAAGCTCGTGCTGCTGTGTAGTTGTCAGCTTAATCTCCAGGTTATACCCACAGGAGGTGGCCAGGTACAGAGAAGCCAGTTTACCCGAACCAGATGACACAGACTCTTCTTCCAGCTTTGGCTCTGATTCCAGTGACCTTAGGCAAGTCGCTTTTCCTGTGTAAGCCAGTTTCCTTTACTCTGAACTTGAAGAAATGAAGAGTAGTTGGTTTATGATGTCCCTTTCAGTGTTAAAGTTCTCTAAGATAAATTTTTCCTATGATAGAAAGAGAAGCTATAGTATGAACATTTGAAAATGTATTTTGAGAGAAGCAAATTTAATAATGAAAGAAATGTTGACTGAGAAAGCCAGACAGAGCAAGGCCAGTGCCAAGATTGCTGGGGCTCAAGAGGGAGGAGGAGCACATGTTATAGGGAACATGGTGGCAGAGAAAGAAAGCAAGGAACCTTGAAAAGCAAAGTGACAAGACAGAATTAAGAAACACAGGGAGCAGAGTGAGTGCAGATAGCAAGTGAATTCTACACCAAGCTCTGCTCTGAGGTTCATTCTTCAAAGTCAAGTTTCAGGTTCACCTCCTCGAAGCTTTCCCGGGCCAGTCCCACATGCAGTCCTCTGGACAGGTCACACTTCTCCCAGAAACCATCGGTGGCTCTTCATGGCCTGGAGAATAGAGTCTAAAATCCACATCCAGTCTCCAAAATTTGTTTACTAATTATATTTCCAGATCTCTCTCTAACCTGTCTCTGGCAAGGGCTGAATACTTTATCCTTTCTAGGCTGTTCCTGAACATCCTCCCACTGTTTGCCTCTTCTGGAAAGCCCTTCAGCCCCCTCTCTACTGGTGGAGATACCCTTTGCTTTCGAGATCTATGACACCATTCCTGACTCCAGGAGTATTTTTATCCATCAGGCTCTCAGGGTTTTCATGAGCCTATGACAGTGTTTGAGACCTGCAGTGGAGGGGAAAAAATAATGAGTTCCAAAATATGAAAACTGAAAAATCAAAATAATATTTTGAAAACAAACTTTGACAACAAAACATTCTATTTAACATGAGAACTGGATGTATTTTAATATGATTACCATGTCTTGGGGTGGGGTCTTCAAAGGAAAGAGGGCCTGCAGCTTACAGATGTCTCATAAGAGGAGACCCACGCTTGGAGGACTCCACCCTCCTTCTTGCTTCTTTGGGACTTTGGAGATGCATCTGTCACACCGCTCATCTCACTCTGCACTGTGTCACAGTGACTGTGTCTGCTGCTGCCCGCTCTCCTTGAGGGCAGGAACCCTGTCTCTACCAGGGGCTCCCAATTAGCAGCCCAGAGGCCAATAGACAGGCTTTCGAGTCAGGAGATTTCACCAAATGCCCAGGTTTTTGGCTTCTTTTAAAAGTTTAGATGATCTGGCCATACCACATTATCTTACCTGTGTGCCGGCTGCTAGGTAACGGGAGCTGAGTGGGTGGGGCCTGCCGCCTCCTGTTTGCCGAGCCCTCTCTTGCTCACCTCAGCTGTTCCCGTCAGTCAGCAGCTCAGCAACTGCACGTGCTGAGACTGCGGCCCTCCTGTCTTACTCCTTTTTGTGTTACTCCTCTGCCTTCTCTGCCTAGTGTCTTGTGTAGTGCACGGGATCAGTATGTATTTATTGAGCACATAAGTGATTACAGGGTTTGGCGCTTGATGTCCCCTGGAATTCACTGTCAAAATCAGACTCTGAGTTGCACAAAGCAAGCTTTAGCCATTAACTCATAACATGACACTATTTTCCCTCTTTCAGCTGGTGGAGGGAGAGAGGCTGATAATAAGCCATGTGGAATATAATTGGATCATTTTACTGAAAGTGATCAGAGCAGTAGCAAATTATGTCTGTATGATGGATCTCCAGCCTTACCGAATTTTCTGTCAAATTTGCAGACAGATTACCTTAACTCCAAAATGATGTATCTGAAGATTTTTTTAATGCAAGAGTGTCAGATGCAATGGAAATTCATAATGAAACATAAACTGAAAACAAGGTGACTGCCTCCCATCTAGTGCTTTTATTCTTCTTTCATTGAACAAAATTAGTCTTTTCCATAAATTGATAAAAATACCCTTTATAAGGTGAGAAATTCAGCTGAAAGGAAGGCCAGAGAGGCCTGCGCATTGCTGAGCAGAGATTTAAACCCATCATTTCAGAAAACAGAAATGTCTTCAAAATTTCAAATTTGCTTCTGAGACCCAAACTGCGGAGTTCAGGTTTGAGAAACATGTGCAAAAACATTCGTTCCATAGCCCAAACTGTGGAACGTAAGGTGATATTTTCTGTGACAGCCTGACCTGAGTCGCATGTACACTATAGGCTGGCAGGGCTAGTCTATGTCAGCGTGGATGAGCATCCCAACTTCCCAGCCACACTCTAAGCCCCTTGAGGGTAGGGACTGCCTCCCTCCACTCAGTCTGTCTTTGATCCCCTGCCACAGCACTCTGTGCATAACTGGCACCTGGATATTTATGATTACTTGGCTAATGAACATGCCAAATCCATTTGCCATTAAATGCAGCAAACCTTCATGCAACGCACTCAGAAAAGTAGCAAGCTCTAAAATCTGTGAAGGCCATGGAAAAGTGAGTAGATTTATAAGGAGAGCCTTTGTTGTGAATAATTCATGCAGGAAGAAAACTACAATTGGAGAAGAGTGCTCACTCCTGATGCTATGGGTAAGTTTCTTTACCACCTTGGTAATGGGAAATGGGATTTATACATTGGCTGATTGCATGAAATCAAATGTAGTTGTTCAGTTTCAGAGATGGGATTTGACTTTGTGAAATACTCAAATCAAGGAAGTAATGAACTAGAATGCAATAGAAATCTGTTGTAGCATTATTTCACAAATCAAGAATATACCCAGTATTATCCTTTAAGCATGATGTGTGTTTCTAACTTTGACCAAATAGTCATTGAAACCAACAGTCGTTGAGGCCCAGATAGACAAAGGAACACAGTAGATAAGATTGCTCTTAAGGAATATTTCCTCCTACCCACCTCATCCAGTCTCCCTGCCCCTTGACTTTGAGCTGAGCCATGTGACTTGCTTTGGCCAATGAGATGTTGGTAGATGGGACTACAAGCAGAGGCTTGAGGGATGCTTGAGGGATTGGTTTTACCCCCTTGTGCTCCTGCCATTGACATGAGAAGAACATGCCCTGGGTGGCCAAGGCCTCTTTGGTCAGGGTTCTGAGCTGAGATCTGTGAGGCAGAAGCACATCAGAGATCTTCATGCATGTGAGTGAGCATCTCTTTGGGGGCACTTTGTAATGCAGCAATAACTGACCGACACAGGTGGTCTACGTGCCAGGTCAGACAGCCGACAGATGGTGTTTTACGTATGTGTACCAGGAAACTTGAACATGCACGACATCTCAGCTCTCCATCTTACAGAAGGGCACGGAGAACTGGGAAGTGTTATGCTTGGGGACCCACAAAGCCAGTGATTGGACAGAGAGAGAAGTAACTATGGATGTTGATTCTAGAATTCCGGAACTGGGCTCCTGTCACATAGCTGTGCTCTGAAACAGAGCCCACCTTTACTGCTTTGAAAAATTCTAGTATCAAAGAGCTACACGAATAAACCAACGAATCACAGACCTCGAAACTCTCTCTGTCTCCCTCCCCACCGCTTTCCTCTCTTCGTCTCTTCCTCTCTTCCTCTCTCCGTCTCTCTCTCTCTCTCTTTCAATTGAGGGATAGAGACAGTGTGGTATAGTTAAAGTACACTGGAGAAAGGGTCAAGAAAACTATGTTCCACTGCTGACTCTGCCACTCTCCCTCTGAGACTTTGGCTAAGTTACTTTACCTCTTGGAGCTTCGCTTTCCTCATCAGGAAAGCAGAGCTGGTAATACTTCTGCCTCGCAGAGGAATTGAAGGGATTTATGAAATAACAATTCTAGAGCGCTCACGAGAACGTCTGGCTCAAGCTCTGCCTCTGGGGAGAAGCAGGTATCTCTTCCTTTTACAACATCCTGCAGCAGAAAAGTTTACGTATTTTCCCCCTCTGTCAGGTAAAAACGTGCTGAGCCGGCAGACTCTAGCATCTTCCTGTCAAGAAAATTGGCACATAGCAACATCCCTGGCTGAGCAAAACAGGTCAGGGTGCTGCCCTTCTTCTGTAGGAGCCCTGTGTTCTTCTAAGACCCTCTTGCGAGTTATCCTTAATGGGAGGCAATGGCGCTTACTCTCCAGGCTGGTCTTCTGACTTCTCTTCCCATTTCACACATCAGGCCCCGCCAGGTGTCGTTTCTGGAGCCTCAGTCAGGCATGCACCTCCCTGACGACCTTCATTCAGCAAACACATGCCATAGGCAGGTCTCGCCCTGCTTGAGAGTTGCGTACCCACACTACCTGTGAGGCAGACAGAGGGTCCCTGCCTTCTCCTCCAGGAGCTTGTGATCCCCTGGGGAAAAGACCTAGTAGGAAGTGTTTCTTTAGTCAACAGGTATTTACTGAGCACCTACGACAGACCGGGCTCTGCACCAGCCCTGGGAATGCTGCGGCAAATGAAACGACACTCACGGAGACATTTAGTCTGGAGCAGCTCTGTCCAACAGAAATCCAATGTGAGCCACATATGTAATTTTAAAGCTTCTAGTAGCTATATTGAAAACAAACAGGAGAAATTAGTCAATAATATATTGTATTTAACCCAATGTACCCAAAATGTTATCATTTCAACATGTAATCAAGATTTTTACATTCTTTTATTCACACTAATTCTTTGAAGTCTGGTGTGTGCTTTACACGTACGGCACATCTCGGTTTGGACAGCCACAATGCAAGTGCTGGATGGATAGTGTGGCTAGTGGTGACTGCACAGGCCAGCACAGGTCTAGAGAAATAGGTGAGCAGTAGGAGCGATGGGCACGTCTGTGAAGAGGAATGATGAGGGTAAGAAGGCTGCAGACGTCAGAGAGGCTTCAGGGGGAGGCAGGTGGAGCTGGGTCTCAGGGTTAGGAAGTTGGGAGAGATGGCAGAGGCACCTGCGGATGAAACATCACTGTTGTGCCAGGAGTGCAGCTGGCTGATGGGGGAGTATGGGAAGAGAGGGTGGATCAGAGGTCCTAGAGGAGTTCTAATTCTGGAATGGCACAGATCATCCCAGCTGATTATCTCTCAGCATTCTGAAGGGAGAAAAACCAGCCGGGAGTACCCTGGGCCTGAGCATGTGTTTTGGCTTCTGAACGTGAATTCATTTTTTTCCATGCATAAATATTTATTGAACACCTACTATGTGCCAGGGACTGTGAATATAGTGGTGAATAAGATGGTCCCTTCTCCATGGAAATCACATTATTCTGGGGGGAGGTAGACAGTAAACACACAATAGATGAATAAGACAGTTTCAGATAATGGTAAATGCACGATGGGGTGGGGAGAAACAAGGTGAAATGATAGACTGATGATAGACACAGTTTATGTTGGGTAGCGAGCTGGGCATTCTCCATTTGCCCCTGGAGACCCATTCTCCATCCTTCTCCACCCTGCCCTGTATCCCAGGAGGCTGACCTCTGTGGAGCGCAGCAGGCTTGTCCTCCAGCTCTCTGTTGGGTCTGACCAATGGGGAGCACTGACAGGAGATCAAAGAGTAGGAGAGAAAGGTTAATACACTCCAAGACCTACCACTGCCCCAGCTGGGACCACGGTTTGGACAGTGGTTGAGATTCTCTACCTGTGGCCCCAGCTCTTGCTAGCACTATTAACACTGTTTCCTCCTCTTGCCCCTTCAAGCCAGGGATTGGTAACAGCCCCTGTCTGGCTCCTCCTCAGCGCTTCACTCTTCCTTCCTGGTTCCCGTGAGCCCCTCCACACCTCTGTAAAATGCACCTTCATTAAACTCTCTTCATTTGCCCTTCTGAGTGTTCCTGCCACTTCACATGTGATCAGGGAGCTTTGGCTTGAAGGACAAGGAGTCAGCCAAGATGAAACCTGGGCAAGGATGCTGCTTGAGGCAGAGGGGATGCAGGAGCAAAGGGCTTGCAGAGAACAAACTAGATGTATCACAAGAACAAGAGGAAAGCCAAAGGAAGCCGAGGTCAGCAAGAAACAAGAGAGCGGAAAAAGTGAGATGGGAGATGTGTGGGGCCAAATCACGCAGGGACTCGTGCTAGAGGAGGAACTCTGCAGTTTATTCTAAGCACAGTAGAACCCCCTGCAGGGTTTGGAGTTGGAGAGTAACATGTCTGACTGATGCTTTCAAAATCCATGATCTGCACCAAAAAAGAGAAATAAAGCATAGCAAAACAAAACCAAAAACAAATGCCAAAACGATGGGGACATATTAAAAAGTCACAGGAGCCAAGCTGAAAGAACTCTTAATGGCCAAACTGGAACGTTGTCAGCAACAAAATACGTAATGATGGTGTTGGATTATAACCAAAGAGGAAAATACATATTCATGAGCCTATACTCATAAATGATTGAATAAGTAAATAAATGGAGGGGAAAGGCTGACACTTCCTTACAGAAGAATTCCAATTAATAAATAGAGAAGGAATGAGGGAAATAGAATATCACAACCATCCTTGCTGAAGGCGAGGTCCCCCGATGAATGCTAACATGTGAGGGAAAGTTTAAGAAGAAATAGGATATTTGCATAGCCTCAAAGTATCTCCTTTCAAATATTTATTAATTGATAAAATTAATTATTAAATTTATTGTTTATGTACTAATTATATATGGCTTTAACATCTCTCTACAAGTTCTTTGACATGTCTTCTTCCTCCAGGAGGAGATTACCTCCCCTCCCCTGGAGTGTGGGCTGGATTCTGTGACTCACTTCTCTTTTCTTTTTCTTTTTATTTGGTGAGGAAGATTGGCACTGAGCTAACGCCTGTGCCAATCCTTCTCTGTTTTGTCTGTGGGATGCCGCCACAGTATGGCCTCATGAGCAGTGTGTAGGTCCACACCAGGAATCTGAACCAATGAACCCTGGGCTGCCAAAGTGGAGCACACGAACTTAACCACTACACTCCCGAGGTGGCACCTGTGACTCAATTCTAATGCCTAGAGTGTGGAGAGGGGAATATAGTAACTGTTCAGTGGAGAAACACAAACGACACCACATTAACCAAGTGATGGATGCTAGCAACAGCAGCAATAAGACATGCTGATCTCACCTACCCCCTGATCTGATGGGATGAGAAGTGTTCCTCTTTGTGGGTGTACTTCCCCAAATCTATAACCTCTGTCTGATCATCAGAAATCATCAGCCAAATGCAAATTGAGGGGCAGCCTACAAAATGCCTGACCTTCAAAGTGTCAAAGTCATGCAAGACAAGAAAGGAATGAGGCAGTGTCAGATTAGAGGAGATTAAGGAGACGTGATGACTGAATGCCATGTGGGGTCCTGGATTAGATTCTGGAACAGAAAAAAGAAATCCAAATAAAGTCTGTAGTTTAGTTAAAAGTGCTGCGTCAATATTAACTTCTTAGTTTTGGTCATTGTATCCAGTTATGTAAGACATGAACACTGGGGAGCCTGGGTGAAAGGTGTATGGAGACTCTGCTATCTTTGGAACTCTTCTATAAGTCTAAAATTATTTCAAAATAAAAAGTTAAGCTAAAAAAATACATAGCTGTATTAGCCAGGTTTCTCCAGAGAATCAGAACCAATAGTATATACATAGATAGAGAGAGAGATTATGAGGAATTAATTCACACGGTTATGGAGGCTGAGCAGTCCCAGGACCAGCTGTCTGAAACCTGGAGGCTGGGAAAGCCATTGGTGTGATTCAGTCTGAGTCCAATGGCCTGAGAACCAGGGGAGCCAGTGATGTAGTTCCCAGTCCAAGGGCAGGAGAAGACCAACGTCTCGGCAGTCAGGCAGAGAAGGGACAAATTCTCCATTCCTCCTCCTTTGTTCTGCGGAAGCCCTCAGTGGATTGGATGAGGCCCGTCCACACTGGGGAGGGCAGTCGACCTGACTGAGTCCACTGATTCTAATGCTAACCTCATCTGGAAACATTCTCACAGACACACCCACAAATAGCGTTTAGCCAAATCTCTGGGTACCCTGTAATCCATTCAAGTTGGGACATAAATTTAACTGCGACAATAGTCCAAGATGAAAATACATATAACAGCAAGAAATTTACATTTAGTCATATCCACAAAAGAGTCACTGAAAATTTTAGCATCATTTTTACACTGCAGGTTCTGGTGCTTGAAACTCACCTGTCCCGTCAAGGCTGTGTTGGTGCGGAAATGAAGTTAGCAGACCCTCAGAGCTCTCCCCTCTGCGCACACACTCGTCTGTGTTGAAGAGGCAGGAAGGGGCAGGAGGTTGAATCCAGTGCTCGGCACTGTTCTAAGCATTTTACTTGTATTCACTTACCAAACCCTCAGCATAACTATCATCGTCATCATCTCCATTTTATAGATGAGAAAGCAGAGGCACAGAGAGGTGAAGGGAGTTGCCTGTTAGAGGTACAGCTAGCCCTTGAACTCTGCATGATGGTACGGGGGCACATTGCCCTGTGCTGGAGGGGGCAGGATATGGGCATGGAGAAGACGATGAAGTCCTGGTCGGGGCAGGGACAGAGCCTGCCTCCCATCCCAAAGTGGGCCCAGCGCATGCCAGTTGGCGTCTGCCACCTCTGTACCCAGGACCGAGGGGCCACGTTCTCAGGCCAGGCCTGGCTCCTGGCACAGGAGCACATGGCAGAAGGAATGCCTTAGCAGCTTGCTCCCTCCAGAAGCAATTTGCTTTCAGCTGCCTCCCCTGGGGACCTGGGGAATGTCCATCTCTGCCATGGACCCTTGCCTACCTGCCCTGTGCCTCCACACAGGCTGGCTCCTTGTAGATGGGGTGTGCTTGCACATGCACGCAGGTCATTTATTTTGTTCCCTCTATTGGTTTTACAAAACTACAAAGTGGCAAATACTCACTGTAAAATATTCAAATGGCACAGACCTGTCTAACGGAGGAAGTGACAACAGCTTCCTCCTTCCCGCGTGCCCCTGGCCCGCCCTGCAATCCCCTCTCTAAGGCCGGCTGCTGTAAGTAGGCATTTTGTGAGGATGTGGCACTAAATTTTTTTATGCCAAAAATAGGCCCCATGAAAACCAGGACTGTGTCTCTTACTCACTCTTGTGTTCCCAGGAGAGGGCCAGGAGAGGTGGCCAATCTCACTTGTTGAATGCTGAATGAGTAAGTGATATGTTCTGCAACTCACGTTTTTTTCAAGAAACCGAGCTATGAACCTACTTCATTCTTTGTAAGGCCTGCCAAGCGTACCATAATGCAGGTGTACTTTAATGCATTTACGTCTCTCCTTATTGATAAACATGGGGGTATTTTGCAGCATTTCTATGACAAACGCCGTACAGCGAGCCCCCTTTGAAGCGCGCTGAGGCATGCAGGAATGAGCGCTTCAGCGAGGGACAGTCCCTTCAGTGGAACTGCCGCATCAGAGGATACAGAGGGTTTAAATTCTGTCCTAGAGATGTTAAAGGACCCCATAGGAGTCGGTCAGAGGGCGTCTGAGGCCTGCAGAGTTTTTGAGGCCACAGCCGTTTCCGGCAGTGCGCAATCAGCATCTCCCTGCTCAGGCTTGGGTGGGGCTCCCAAGGAGAGTGAGTTCCTTCCCCAGGGCGCTAGCCCATCAAACTCGCTCTGGCGACCCTCAAGTGGCTGCAGGGGGCCGACAAGGGTCTCTCTGCCTGGACATTTAGGAGTCTTTCTTGTAACTCTTACTCTCCATGTTTGTAATTTTCAAAATACCTTCACTTGATTAGCTTCCCTGGATCTAACGATTCCCATGATGCAGGCTGGAAAGCAACATCATCCCCATTCTACAGGAGAGGTGACCGACAGTCCCAGGTCACACACTCGTCAGCAGGAGTGACAGCGACTGTGCTCAGGGACTAGTACGGGGACAGCTGGAACCTATTGTTTTCCTAGAGTGACTTTCTAAGGATGAAAATGTCGTAATAAGGAAAAGAGAGTAAAACCTTTGTGGTGTCAAATCTGTAATAAGTTCTGTTATTACAGCTCCAAACGGCTCCTCGGAAGGGCCTGCACAGTTGGAGAAGAGCCTTCAGAAAATGGAAATGAGGTTGCAGAGAGCCCACTAAGAAATGAATGTCCTGTGGGTCTCCTCAGCTCGGGGCTCGGGGCAGTTAAAGTATTGCCTCACACAAAGAGACCACCGAGAGTGTAAAAATTACTCAATTTTGTCAGGTTGGCTCTCTATTCAGTTAAACCACTTCATTTAATTGTCCTCCTCAGAGGGTTGATAACAAGATCAACAGCGACAACAACAAAACATGCCTGAACTGAAGCCGTTCTGGACTGACGTCTGGGGAGCCCCCACCTTGTTCTTTATCTGAGATCACTCCTCAAGTCAGACCCAGGGCTTTGGCAGGGGTGGTCGACAGAGGCCACCCCCCGGCGCAGGGCTGCCGAGCTGATCGTTGGTCAGTCTGGAGCTGCTGGCAGCCCTCTGGCCACCATGTGGCAACAGGCTCCCTGAGAATGACGTCGATGCGGTAGGAAGCCGCCTGAAAGATGAAGAGGCATGGCCTCTGAATCCAGCTGTTCCTGAAGCCAAACTATTTCTGATCTTTCCAGCTAAGAGAATTGATAAATCCCCTCTTTGTTTAATCTAGTTTGGTCTCCATCACTGAAGGACTCCTCATTAAGGTTTATCTTAGGACACAAAATGTCCAGCACAAGTAGAATAATAATGATTTTTACTGGTAATTTTTAAATGATGGTATAGTTTATAAACAGTAAAATTCAGATCCTATGTATTCAGTTCAGTGAGTTCTGACACATGCGTGCACACTCCTACCAACATGTAAAACAATTCCATCAGCCTCGGAAGGTCCCTGCGCCCCTTCCTAGTCCGTCTGTCCCCACCTCCCACCTCAGGGGCAACTGCTGCTCTGATTTCTTTCCTGGACTAGATTTGCCCGTCTGAGAACTTCCTCTCCGTGTAATCGTGCAGGGTAGCACTGTTCTCAGTGTCTGACTTCTACTCAACATAACCTTCCAGGTTCATCTAATTCTTACAAATAACACCCAACATTTTTGAGCCCTCACAGTGAGCCAGGCCCTGTGCTCAGCACCTTACCTTCCTTCTGTCTTTGCAATAACCCCGTGTTGTGTGGTTCTCATCCCTGTTTTGCAGCTGAGGAAACTGAGGCTTAGCGAGGTTAGGCCACTTGCTCAGAGTCGCGTTGCTAGTCAGTGGATCAGTCCGAATATGCGCTCCTGTGTCTGACTGCAGAGCCCGAGGCCAAAGAACCTGGCTCTGCGTGTCCTGCCCTGGGCAGATGGGACGCGGCAGAACATTGACCACCCGTGCACATCCTCCAGGGCCACTGAGCTGCTCCTGCCCACTGTGTTCTCACTCTCCTTGTACCCGGGCTGCAATTTCATCCTCTATGCCTCTCCGGAGGGGGTCACCTTCGCCCGCCCTCCACGTGAGCGAGCTTGGGGAGAGAGACTGGAGTGCGTGAAGGAGCCACGGCTGTTCCGGTGCGTTTCTGCTCCATCTTCATCCTCTGAGGGATGCCTGCGAAGCCTGACCCATAAATACAGCTACACTTCTGGGCTTGTCTGCAGAAAGAAAGATTATCTACAGTTGTGAAAGGGTAAGGTGACGTTAAAAGAAGTGACTGCCACCCAGATAACCCAAATTAAACAAAAACGTTTTCCGTCTAAGGTGACCCCTGATTCAAAATGGAAGTTGTTGTTTTTGCTAAGGAAGATTCACCCTGAGCTAACGTCTGTGCCAATCCTCCTCTCCTTTGTATGTGGGATGCCACGGCCACCCACGAGGGGTGTCAGTCCAGGCCCAGAACCAAACCCAGGCCCAGCAGAGCCAAACTTAACCACTAGGCCA